ACATCTGAGGAACCTGGCTGTGCACAAGTCCACAGGACCTGACGAGATGCATCTAAGGGTCCTGAGGGAACTGGCAGATGAACTTGCTAAGCCACTATCCATCGTATTTAAAAAGTTGTGGCAGCCCAGTGAAGTTCCCAGTGACTGGAAAAGGGGAAACATAAACCTCATTTTTAAAACGGGGAAAAAAGGAAGACCTGGGGAACTACAGGCCAGTTAGTCTCACCTCTGTGCCTGGCAAGATCATGGGGCAGATCCTCCTGGAAGCTACGCTAAGACACGTGGAGAACAGAGAGGCGACTGGTGACAGCCAGCATGGCTTCACTAAGGGCAAATGGTGCCTGACCAATACTGTGGTCTTCAACAACAGGGTTACGGTGTTGGTTGGCAAGGGAAGAGCGACTGATGTCACTGTCCCACACAACAGCCTTGTCTCTAGAATGGGGAGACGTGGATTTGATGGGTGGACCACTTGGTGAATAAGGAATTGGCTGGATGGTGGCACTCAACGAGTTGCAGTCAACGGCTCAATCTCTGGGTGGGGACCATGTGACGAGTGGGGTCCCTTGGAGGTCTGCATTGGGACCAGTATTATTTAACAGATTTGGTGGGGATGTGGACAGTGGGATTGAGTGCACCCTCAGCACACTTGCGGATGACACCAAGCTGTGTGGTGTGGTGATCATCCAGAGGGACTTGGACAGGCTAGAGAGGTGGGCACCTGCAAACCTCATGAAGTTCAACAAGGCCAAGGGCAAGGTCCTGCACCTGGGTCAGGGAGATCCCAAACATGGATGCGGGCTGGGGGATGAAGGGATGGAGAGCAGCCCTACCGAGAAGGACTTGGGGGTACTGGTGGGTGAAAAGCTGGACATGAGCCGGCAATGTGCACTCGCAGCCCAGAAGCGGAATCAGTACAATCTGGGCGATGAAGGGATTGAGACTATTGACTCTGCTCTGGGGAGACCCCCCCGGCAGTGCTGCGTCCAGCTCTGGAGCCCTCGGCACAGGAGAGACATGGACCTGCTGGAGTGGGGCCAGAGGAGGCCCCAGCAACGCTCCGAGGGCTGGAACAGCTCTGCTGGGAGGACGGGCTGGGAGAGCTGGGGGGGCTCAGCCTGGAGCAGAGAAGGCTCCGGGGAGACCTTACTGCAGCTGCCAGGGCTTAAAGGGGGCCTATAAGAAAGGGACAGACTTTTTAGCAGGGCCTGTAGCAATAGGACAAGGGGTAACGGTTTTAAACTAAATGAGATCAGTTTAGACTAGATAAAAGGAAGAAATTTTTCACAATGAGGGTGGTGAGACACTGGCACAAGTTGCCCTGAGAAGTTGTGGATGTCCCATCCCTGGAAGTGTTCAAGGTCAGGTTGGATGGTGCTCTGAGCAACCTGGTCTTAGTGGAAGTTGTTTAGGGTTGGACTATATGATCTTTAAAGGTCCCTTCCAACCCAAACTAATCTATGATTCTATGAACAGGACAGCAAGCTTCTCCAGTTTTGCTGGGCTCCCCACTTAGGAAAGGAGATGGAGCTGGGAGCCTTGAACTCTGGCCTGAAAACCTCTGACCTGGCTTCACCAAAACCTCTCAGTGTTTTGGATTGTGCCATGCCAAGAAAAGGAGGAGAGAGCAGGAGGTGGAGTCTTGGTTGTGTTTGCTTGCTTGCAAAGACGCTAAGCTTGTGTTCTTCTTGCTGGCCTTGCCTCCCAGATGGTGGGAATTGGGACGTCGGATGTGAATCTGGACAAGTACCGCCACACCTTCTGCAGCCTGCTGGGCAAGGATGAGGACAGCTGGGGGCTCTCCTACACAGGTAGGGCAGAGGGCAGGATGGCTGGAAGGGCAGCAGCGGGCATAAGGATTTTCTTAGGGGACTGAGAAATAAATGATCTGAGGGGATTGAGGCCAAAAAAGCCACCAGACCTGTGGGTCCCTTTGTTAATGACAACTGCTCCGTCTGCCTGCAGCTTTGCAGCTCTTGGAGCATCTCGCCTTGCCTGCGTTGTGCAGACCCCTTAGAACCAGTGCGTAAAACTCCAGAGTGCTGAGACTGCCGGTTGCATGTCACCGATTAGGGGTTTCAGTGCCGCTGCCTGCACTCTGGTATTGCAAAACCTCAACTTTCCCCTCTTCATCACCCACTCTGGGCTGGGAGGGCGGGGATCAGGCAGTGGGGGGATTGTTCTGGAACAGGGCAAGGCCATACTGGTGGGAACTCGCAGTGCGGGAGTTGGGGTGAATTCATGGAGCGCAGGCTTTCCACTGAAGGCCTGTTTTGGGTGTTGGTTTTTTTTGTTTGTTTTAAGGACTACTGCATCACAAGGGAGACAAAACAAACTTCTCTTCGAGGTTTGGCCAAGGCTCCATCATCGGGGTGCATCTGGACACGTGGCACGGGACGCTCACGTTCTTTAAAAACCGCAAGTGCATAGGTAAGAGGAAGGGCAGCCGCAGCGGCCTGCAGGCAGAGGGACTGGGAGGGGGAGCAGCGCAGCTTTGGCTGAACTTGGAGTCTGGCTGCAGCAGGGCTGCCGGAGAAAACGCTGGCAAAGTAGAAGACCGAGGCGTGAAGCGAGTGGGAGGAAGGTTACAGTTGTTGTTTAATAGATTGGGATTTCAAAAGGCTGTTTTCCTAACAGTTCTGTAGTTAATGGGTTCAGGGTAGCTGGGAGGAGTGAGATCACCTTGTCAGAACTAGGCTGAAACCCCCTCGATGCTGTCCTCTGCAGGGGTTGCGGCCACTAAGCTGCAGAACAAGAAGTTTTACCCCATGGTGTGCTCGACAGCAGCCAAGAGCAGCATGAAGGTGATCCGCTCCTGTGCCAGCTGCACGTCCCTCCAGTATCTCTGCTGTTACCGCCTGCGCCAGCTCCTGCCCGACTACGTGGACACGCTGGAGGTGCTGCCATTGCCCCCGGGACTCAAGCAGGTGCTACACAACAAACTGGGGTGGGTCTTGAGCATGAACTATAGCACGTCAAAGCCATCTTCCTCCTCCTCATCGGGAAGCGACTCGGACAGCTCCTGTGGCTCAGATGCAGAGGCTTGCCAAAGGAAGAGGTGCAGGAGGACATAGTGTCTCTGCAGATGAACTGCTGTGAGGGAGTCGGGTGGGGTTTTGTTCTGCTGTCTGAAAGAGGCGGCCAGGCTTGATGCACCTCATTCTCGATGGGGACTTCTACTTGCTTGCAAAGATTTCTCTTATGCTGTTGGAAATCTTTAGCCTAAATGTCCATCACACGCATTGAAAAGACCTATTGACTCCAAGAGGTCCCAGCTCTGCGGAACAGGTAAACTGCAGCCAAATATCTAAGCTTCATCTCCTGACTTGCTGTCAAAGCCATCACCTCTTCCTGAAGGATTCCTCTTGTCTGCAGACTCTCAGCAGAGACAAGATTTAAGGTGGCCTCCCGGTTTCAAAACATACTAGACTCTGGTCAAGTAACGGACTTGACTCGTCAAAAGACAAAGATCTAAGACCAGTCCCCTCCTCCTAACTGGTGTGTGTTGGTCTGGTATCTGTGAGGAACTCGTCGTGCTGTGGGGCACAATCGAGCAGCAGCATGTAGGGAATTGGGCTCCTAGAGATGCGTCTGTGTCGCTGTTGTCAGAGCAGTTACACGAGTTGAGCTGTTGGTGATCTTTCCTGAGACCCCGATGACTTCAGTTGCTTTGCATGTTGGCTCCTGCTGCTTCTCCTGTATCAAAGACTGTATTAAACTGTCATAGTAAAAGTAGAAACTGTCTTTTGTTCCTCTTAGGGCCCTTGAAGGCAGGGATCTGAAGGTGCTTGTCAAAAATAGCCACTCTATCAGAGCTGTGAGGGCTCCTGGCAAAAAATAGCCACTCTATCAGAGCTGTGAGCCTGGAGGGGATGTTTTAAATGCAGTGCTGGTTTGTCAGATCTGGGGGAGATAAAGGCAATGGAGGTACTCCCTTGCCTCTGCCCCGGGGAGAGTTCTTGCGCTTCCCACTGAAACACCAGTCAGGCAGGGGTGGATCCTCAGCAGAGCCAGCCCAGCGCCTGGAAGGGAGGCTGCAGGGTTTTAACAGTGCCTGTCCCCTGGCAGGTTGCACGGGGAGAAACAACCCCAAACCCCATTCCCAGAGCCTGAGAATTGGTGCAGCGTCTGTGCCCAGGAACAGCCCCTCGCCAAGACCTCTCGGTCGTGCCAGGGGAAGTGCTGGGTTATAGCCTGGGCGAGCGACTGATCTGGTAGTGGCCTGGTACCACTGCCAGCAAACAGTGGCATTCTGCATTTGAGCTACCCTTGGATTTGGGACAGGAAAGAGGAGGGAAAAGCACTTCAGCTGCTCCCTGCAGATGAGGACACAAGCAGTGGCTGGGAACAAACTGCATAGCAAGAGGCAGGCTCAGGCGCGTAAGCACGTCTCACTGCCTGGCTTGCGTGGCACCGCCAGGACGGGCTGGCTCCGGCGACCCCTCCCAGAGCTGATCTAGCCTGAGCCCCGTTCAACGGGCACGTCTGGCAGCTCTGCTTCCTCCTGTTTATACCCCTCGCTGCCGAAGCAGCGCTGCTGGGAGAGCTGCTGGGCAGGCACGGGAGGAGCGCGCCGACGGAGAGCACAGCACCACGTGCTCCTGGCAGCCCAGCCAGGTGGGGTCTGCTGCTCCCGCAGGACTGGATGCCAACGCCGTTCCCGGTCCCTGTGGCTTCTGAACGCTTTCTGCGGGGCCTGTGGTCAGCCTGGGGCTTCTGCTCATGGGACCTTTCCTGGCCTTTGAACTCTCCTATGGGGAGCAGTGCATTTGCGGAGGATTTAGGTCTGAGCTGGTGCCATCAGCCAAGTGCAAAGGGTACTGGAATGTGGAAGACTGTTGGAATAACTAGGAGGGGAAATGGCTCTTACCCTGTCCTCTCTGTGGGTTTCCTCCCAGCAAATTCCAGCTGCTACCTTTTCCCCTGCTCCCATCACAGACCTGAAAGGCTCTGGTAAAGCTTTTTGCAGCACATGCATTTATTCCCCGCTGAGCCCCACCACTCCATGATTTTCCTTCCCACATCACGACTCTTTAAGCGAAGATGGCTCTCGCTTCTCTGGTGACAGACTTTGAATGAGAACCTTAATGAAGCAGGACAGGCTCTCTCTCAATCCATCTGTATCGGTGCTGCAGCCAGAAAAAACAGCCTTTCTGGATTGCTCCTCCCCAGGAGCTAATTCAAGTATTAGCAGATGGAGGCAGAAGAATCTCTGGCAAGGAGGAATGTCGTTCGGAGGGTGCCCTCCCACTTCTGCAGCACCCGCTGGTGGCGCTGTGAGCCAGCGAGCCGTGGTTCACCGGAGGAAGTTCAGGGGTTTCTGTGCCATCGTGGAAAGCCCCAGTTGGCAATTCCAAAACCTCAGGCACTGGGGAGTCCCTGACCCTTGCTGTCCTGGCTGCGGCTATTTCTGAGTAAAAAAAAGTGAGGGTTTGCTTTGGGAAAAAGAGAATCCCATCATAACCCACCATTTCGCATGGAGTTTTCTGGAGCTTATTTGGCATTTCCTCGTGTTGGGAGTTCAGCCAACAAACTCTGTGTTACTGTAGGATGTGGTTCCTCTCTGGCCAGCTGGTTTTGACAGCTGGCAAACGTTTTCTGAAGTAACTCCAGCAGGACCCACGGGCACGAGGAAGCCACGAACAGCACCTACAGTAACAGGACCAGTCTCACCGAAGAGCCGGTGGAGAGCAGGACATTAAAAGTCAGGACACGCTGCAGAAAACACTGGCTCGTTCAACAGCTCACCTGAAAGGCAGCGCAGGACAAACTTACCAAGAGGCTGTCTCAGTGGAGGAGCTGATCTTGTGCTGCTCAGGGACAGCTCATGGACACCTTCACATCCAGCCCCTGTTCCAACCATTCCTTAGTGCTCTTAGGAGACAGACAGCTTTCCAGCCAGGGGGGTAGAAAGCTGAGGCACTAAAAGAGGAAAGGAGAGCCAAGAGGCTGAAGAAATCATCTGTAACAGACATTTATTGATGTGCAAGTCTCTGTTCTGAAACAGAATCAGCTGCTTCCCCTGGCTGAGCTCCCAGCAGCGCTGCTGTGCCAGCTCACCACTGCCCGGCCTTGGCAGATCAGGCAAGGAGGCTGACCAACATGGCCCACGGTCCTACTAAGTGCTCAGGTCCAGGACAAGGTCGGGGTCGGTGGATACCACGAAGAGGTAGACACGGCGGGATAAGTCTGGCCCAACACGGTGGTCTTTCCCACTGACATCCGATTTCACTGGGATGTCACTCAGCAGGAGTCGTTTTTCATCTTCTGTGCTGCATTCATTGTAGGCCTTTGAGCACACAAGAGAAGGAAGCAGTTAGCACAGATGCTCCAAGACTCCACTCTCCTCTGCAAGGCTCAATGCTGTCGTTACAGTGAGGATCCATGACTGAGCCTTCATCCAAACATACCAGGATCAGAGAATAAAGTTCAGAAAAAACAAGATCTATGACTTGCAAACAGACCTCACACACACTCAGAGTTGTGTGTTGCCCCTCCAGCGTACAAGGAGAGAGCTGTAAAGCCACTTCTTCTGAAGCAGCTATGCTACGGGGACAGAGATCAAAGCTCCAGGGGAAGAAAGAGAGGAGAGTATTTGACTATATGAGACTTTTTAAAAAAACCCAAAGTTCTGTCACAGTTCCTGATCTAATGGAAAGAGTTTATGTGATTAATGCTCAGAAAAACAAGCACTTGCTGATAAAAATGTATCTTCATAAATTGGCTAAGCTGCTGTCAGAAGGGTTAGACAGCATCCTAGTCTAATCCTGCTCCCCCAACACCTTGCTGAGCCAGTCTAGCTCATGAACCAGCAGAAAGCTAAAGGGAGTAGTTTAGTGAATTTAGTGAGCTAAATCAGATCCTTTGAAGGATCAGACAACAGAAGAGCAAGGAAAGTGTGGGATATGCTGCTGGCGACAGCAAGCGGTAAGAGAGATCGGGTGTCCTGTGGAAATCCCTCACAGTCCGCAGGGGTGACACGTTTTCTGCTTGAGGGTGACGTAGAGCTGTCGGGCTGTAACAGCAGGCACCTGAGACATCACCCGTTTCAAATAAAACCAAGCAAAGCTGCCGGACAGACCGTGTTGGACAAGGGCAGTAGGATGCATCCAACAGACCCTCAGCTGCACTGGCTGGGGGCAACCAAATGTATTGCCAAGCAAAAATGCAAAGAGGCTTTGAGCAGGTGCTGTGAGGTGAGACCAGGGCAGAGAGAGGCCTGGAGGGCTAACAGGAAAGGTAAGAAGCTACTGCTCAAACAAAGCTATGGCTTAAGTCAAACACCAACTGGAGACAAGCCTTGCCTTTCTGGAGAGTTGATTTCACACTCTTGGCTTGTTTGCTGCATCAACAAAGACCTTTAAGCGAGGAAGCACATGGCTTCCCTCCCTGCCTGCATCCTCCAAGCTTTTAACAGGACACCGAGGGGTTTGAGGGCCTACCTGTAACAGGAGGCTTGGGGAGGGATATGCTTCTGCTATAGCTGCTGCTGTTGCGGGGCTGACTCTGTTAAACTGCTGGAGTTGTCTCTTCCACACTTGCCAAAGTCCTGTGCCATCCTTCTCCACTCGCACCCCGCTGGCCCAGGCGCCAGCAGTGCAGAAAGGCAACTCCTGCGACTCCAGCTGCCTCCTGCAGAAAGACAGGTTGCTGAGAGCAAGACCTGGGGCCGTGAGCACAGGCCTGCAGACCCCAGATGCTGCAGCCTTCCCCTAGGAGTAAGCAGTGGACTTCCTTCTAAAACCTCTTTCTGCCCAGGACTAATATTCCCCCTGCCAATTATTTCCTTCCCCGGAAAGCTCCAGAACACCTTGGTGAAAAGGTTTTCCTAAAGCTGTCATCTTCCCTCCTTTCCTGAATCACCACTGCATTCTCCACGAGAACAGAGGATTTTCATCAGCACAGAGACTGAAAACGATCTCAAGACAGATCTAGTCTGGGCTCTTACATGGATGGCATCAAGGCCAGGCTGGCAGCCACAGATAAGTGTTCCTGTAACTTCCACTGAGGTTTCCCAAAGCTCTGGGATCACATCTTGGGATGTGACCGAGTCCAGTGCTACAACTCACTTGTACGGGCGTTTTGCTATTGCCTTTGTCAACGCAGAGACATGCTGACCGAATTCCTGCCATGTGTCTACAAACAGCACTTCGATGTTACCCCATAGCTGCAGCACCACCAGCGCCTGGAGGAGAAGTGACAGAGATGAAACATGTAACATGCTGACCAACGAGACAAAGACAGCCATGAGCCAGGACACAGCCTGAGGCCCTCACTGGTGTCAGCCCTGGTCACCACCAAAGGCACCCAGCGAGAGGAGCAAGGAAAGTACACGGGTAGGACCCATCCC